GGCCAAAAGCCCATGGCAAAAAGCCAATGGCCAAAAGCCCATGGCAAAAATCAAATGGCAAAAGCCAAGGCAAAAAGCCAATGGCCAAAAGCCATTGCAAAAATCAAATGGCAAAAGCCAATGGCATGTCAGGGTGGGCGTGATGTCACCTTATGAAAGTGGAGTCAGTCCTTACACATGATTTACACACATAGTTAAATCTATTCATGTAAATGATTCTATCAGTTTTTTTCAGAAAGGCAAGCAATGTTCTGCTATTTTTTCCTTATGTCTGGGGCTAAGTTACTGAACTTTAAACTAGGCTTTAGGGCTACTGAAACTAGACTTTAAGGCTTTTTACTCTCTTAAGGCACTTAAAGTATATTCTTACTTAATTAAAACTAAAATTTAGGCTTCTACTTCATGTCAGTGTGGTTTAAAGTATTTTAATTTCTCTAAAGGCTTTAATTCAATCCCTGCATTCTTTTCTCTCTCTGAGGGACTCAGGGAGGTTTCTATTTTATACACTCCAACCAGTGAGGGATAATTTGGGATATCCAACCCTTGTGTGATGTCTGTCCCTTCTCAATTCCCAGGGAAAGACATCCATACAGAAGAGCTGCTACGAGCCCCTCTGGAACGAGCAAATCATCTTCACGGAGATGTTTCCCCCGCTGTGCAGGCGGATCAAGATCCAGATCCGGGACTCAGACAAGGTCAACGACGTGGCCATCGGGACCCACTTCATCGATCTGAGGAAAGTCTCCAACGAAGGGGACAAAGGTAAGGTTGAAGTGGGGGCATTCCTCTGTCGGAGTTCCCAAGGAGTTTTCCGAGCTCCTTCCCAGCCCTGGAATTCCTTGGTGCTCGTTTGGAGAGAGCTTGATGTCCTGAAATGTGAGAGGTTCCTGGTACAACGCCCTGAAAACCTGTCACAAACCTTCAGCCAGTACCTGAAAGCAAAGACACCCCAGAACAATTTGCTCTTCCAAAAATTCCATGGATGGACGAGCATCTGTCAGGTTCCCTATTCCTGCACATGGGCAAAGATGGGAAACCAGACATGGGATTGGAAAGGGACTAACAGGGGATTCTCCTTCCTCAACCCTCAAAATGGGGAATTGCTGAAGATCTGCCCAGTTCCCATCACTGTCTTCTCTGCAAATTTCCCAGAAAAAAAAACCCAGGAGGCTCAGGGGGGGCCTTGTGGCTCTGCACAACTCCCTGACAGCAGGGGACAGCCAGGGGGGGAACAGGGACAGGACAAGGGCAAATGGCCTCAGGCTGGGCCAGGGCAGGCTCAGCTTGGACAGCAGCAGCAATTTCTCCATGGAAAGGGTGCTCAGGCCTTGGCAGGGGCTGCCCAGGGAGCTTTGCAGTGCCCATCCCTGGAGGTGTCACCTGGATGTGGCACCCAGAGCTCTGGGCTGGGGACAAGGAGGGGATCAGGCACAGCTTGGGCTGGATGCGCTGGGAGGGCTTTTCCAAGCTGGAATTATCCAGGAATTCCCTGAAAACTCTCCGTGGATGGCAGGAACTGCACTTCCATGGACACACAAGAGCGTGTCCCAGTTTGTGTCACCGCACAGACACCGGGAAAGCGACGTCAGCCACGAGTGCCAAGCCATTCCCTTTTCCCTTTCCAACCCCTTCACACCTGCCTGTTGGGAAGGATGGATTAGGGAAACCTTATAAATATGAGTGCCCAGCAAAAGACTTTGAGAATACGGAAAATATAATCAAAATAGAAATGAGAGCAATTTTCGACTGTGTGGCTGAAAGCAACTGAATGCCTGAAGGCCCCTTGGTTTAGATAATGTTAAATGCTGCAAATACCAAAAAAACAAACAGACATCCTCCCTGGGCAGGGCAGGAAGGGTCCCAGAGGAAATTTAGAGAGAAGAAAAGCAGTAAAACATGGTAATATAGTGATTCCTATAGGATGCATGCAAACGTTAAAGAGTTTGTATCTTGTATTAGATTGGTTAGTGGAAATTAGAATATTCAACATAGAAAAAAGATTTATTGTATTGTAAACGGGAAAATTGCTCTCTTTTTCTCTCTCTCTCCCTCTTTCTCCCTCCTTCTCTCCCTCTTTTTCTCCCTCCTTCTCTCCCTCTTTCTCTCCCTTTCTCTCCCTCTTTTTCTCCCTCTTTCTCTCCCTCCTTCTCCTTTTCTCTCCCTCTTTTTCTCCCTCTTTCTCCCTTTCTCTCCCTCCTTCTCTCCCTCTTTTTCTCCCTCCTTCTCCCTCCTTCTCCCTCTTTCTCTCCATCCTGCTCTGATCTGTGGCTGCAGTTCCCGGCAGGGTCTCACATTTACCCACACCCTACAAAACAAACTGCAAACTTCAACACCAGAACACAGAGAGTGCCTGAGTTTGTCCCGACCGTCCCAAGGCAGCGATTCCTACGGGGGGGGGAGGAATTAAAAAAAAAATGGGAATGTTCTCCTCGGGATTGCGGGAATTTTGTTGGGGGTTTGTCCTTTCCTCCCTGCTGGGATTTGTCACCGCGGCTGAGGAGGGTTTTTATTTTTTTTCCTGTCTGTGGGGTGGGTGAGGTCGGGAATTTGGGAATTTCAGGGTGGGAAGCCACGACAAAGGAATGTGGGAGCCTCGGGAAAATCCTTTTGATTATCCCGAGTTCTGCTCCTGGAGATGGGAATTAGTGGAGTTGTGGAATTATGGGATGGTTTGGCTGGGAAGGGACCTTAAAGATCATCCTGTTCCAACCAGGGTGCTCCTGGGATATGGGATAATGGGATAGGATAATGGGATGGGATGATGGGATAATGGGATAATGGGATAATGGGATGGGATTGAAGGTCCCTTCCTACCCAAACCATTCCGGGATCCACTGGACTTTCTGGGATGGCTCCAGGCTGGGATTCCCAGAGGACAAATCCCTTGGGATGCAGCTCCAAGGAAAACCCCAAGCTCCAGGGAATGCTGGGAGCCTTTTCCAGAGGTTTCCAGGAGAGCTGGGATTTGGGAAAGGGCTGGAGGGCCAGGAGCCAGGGAATGGCTTCCAGTGGGAAAGGGGAGCTTGGGGTGGGATCTTGGGAAGGAATTCGTGGCTGGGCTGGAATTCCCAGAGAATCCCTGGATCCCTGGCAGTGTCCAAGGCCAGGCTGGAGCACCCTGGGATTTTGGGAGNCTCCCTCTCTTTCTCTCTCTTTCTCTCCCTCTCTTTCTCTCTCTTTCTCTCCCTCTCTTTCTCTCCCTCTCTTTCTCTCCCTCTCTTTCTCTCTCCTTCTCTCTCTTTCTCTCCATCCTGCTCTGATCTGTGGCTGAAGTTCCCAGCAGAGCCTCACATTTACCCACACCCTACAAAACAAACTGCAAACTTCAACACCAGCACACAGAGAGCGCCTGAGTTTGTCCCGACAGTCCCAAGGCAGCGATTCCCTCACCTGCCCGTTCTCCATCCCCTCAGGTTTCCTGCCCACCTTCGGCCCCGCCTGGGTGAACATGTACGGCTCCACCCGTAACTACACGCTGATGGACGAGCACCAGGAGCTCAACGAGGGCCTGGGAGAGGGCGTCTCCTTCCGTGCCCGGCTCCTGCTGGGCCTGGCCGTGGAGATCCTGGACACCACCAACCCAGAGATCAACAGCTCCACCGAGGTGCAGGTGGAGCAGGCCACGGCCGTGGCCGATGTGAGTGCCCCTCGTGACCCCACGAGGCACTTTGGGGGTCTCGGCAATGTTGGATTGTTGCCTTTGGTCTCATAAGTTTTCATCTCGCAGAGCAATGGAAGTTAATCTTGCAGGATTCCGGGTTTTAGGGTCGTTCCAGCGCTCAGTTCCCTTTAGGAGCGCTGGGAATGTCGGAGTGACGTTGTCTGTCTGTCACTGGCACAGCTTTCCCAGAGAAGCTGTGGCTGATCCATCCCTGCAAGTGTCCAAGGCCAGGCTGGAGCCCCCTGGGGTAGAGGAATGTGATCCTGCCTGTGGAACCCGATGATCTTTAAGGTCCCTTCCCACCCAAACCATTCCATGATTTCTGTCCTCTCCTGAGCTTTGGGATGTTTCTGTGTGTGGGAAATACACACGGAGAGTGACTCATCCCCTAATTCCAGCTTTCCCACTCTTATCCTGATGGGTTTCAATCAGAAGCCAGGGATGTTGTTTATTCCCCAGCCAGGTGGAATGAAACCACTTGGAAATAGAACCATTCCCATCCCACGGGAGCATCCAGGCTCCTGGATTTGTGTGGTTTGATCAATTCAGTGGCAGTGAACTCATTCTATTTCTGAATTACCCTGAAATCCCCTCCAGGGCAAGGGGTGATGGATCCCAGCACAGTTCAAGGTTATCTTTAATTAAAAGATATGAAATCTTTAATTTAAAGATTAAAAAAAATCTCATTAAGGATTTGCATTAAACATTAATTTTTTTTTTAAAAAAACCCTTAAAAATTTAAAAATATTAGGCTAAACATTAAAAAAAGTTATTAAATGTTTAATTAAACGCTCTGCAGTCCTCCAGGAGATGGGAGACAAAACCCTCCTGGTCCCTTTAGAAATGATATCCCGAGGGATGGACTTGTGTCTCCCTCTGGCCCCGGCCCTCAGCCCTGGGATCTCTTTCTCCTGCAGAACTGCAGCGGGAAGATGGAGGAATTCTTCCTCTTTGGAGCCTTCCTGGAGGCCACCATGATCGACAGGAAGATTGGGGACAAACCCATTAACTTCGAGGTCACCATAGGTTGGTTGCTTTTTGGGGAGTGTGAAGGTGGTGAAAATCAGAACCTAAAGTCGGGTTTGTTCCCGATTTTCCATTCCAGCTCCTGCTAGAGCAGGTTTGGGGAGCAGGGAACGGCTCTCCCATGGGCATGAGGGATGTATTTTGTATTTTGTATTTTTTGTATTTTGTGCCTGCTGGGCTGTGACCACTGGAGCTGATCCCCCTCTCCCATCCTGGCTTTGTGCTCCAGAGACACCAGCTCCAGGAGGGAATGCATTCCCAGGGGATTGAGAGGGGACAGCAGCAGGGCATAGACCCCTCTCCCTAATTTCCACCTCCAGGAAGTCAAACCCCAACGTTCTCTGTGATTCCAGCAAAGAAAACTTCTGCCAGCTCAAATTCAACCCCAGAGCTGGGAGTTATAACCCTGTGAATCGATTCCATCTCTTTTTTTTTTTTTTTTTTTTCTTTTCCTTGAGGTAACTATGGCAACCAGGTGGATGGCTCCAGCAAACCCCTCCTGCGGAGGAAGAAAGAGGGAGGGGATGGGGACGAGGAGGAGTCGGAGCTGCTCCAGAATTCCAGTGAGGATGAAGGTGGTGAGGATGGAGAGCTGGTCTCCGTTTCTTCATCCCAGCCTATGAAGCCCCTGGTCACAGACAGGTCAGTGTGTGCCCCTAACCATGGAGAGGTCAGGGTGTCCCCCCTGGTCACACACTGGTCAGTGTGCCCCCCTAGTCATGGACAGATCAGAGTGTCCACCTGGATTTGCGTGGTCAGTGTGTCCACGTGGTCACAGACTGGTCAGTGTGCCCCCCTAGTCATGGACAGGTCACAGTGTCCACCTGGATTTGTACAGTCAGTGTGTCCATCTGGTCACAGACTGGTCAGTGTGTCCCCCTGAATTTGTGTGGTCACTGTTCCACTTTGGCACTGGATCACTGTGTGTCCACCTGGTCACAGACTGGTCAGTGTGTCCCCCTGAATTTGTGTGGTCAGTGTGTCCACTTTGGCACTGGACCACTGTGTGTCCACCTGGTCACACACAGGTCAGTGTGTTCATCCAGGCACTGGATCACTGGGTCCACCTGGATTTGTGTGGTCACTGTGTCCACCTGGTCACAGACAGGTCAATACTCCCCCCTGGTCATGGACAGGTCAGTGTGCCCACCTGGATTTGTGTGGTCAGTGTGTCCACCTGGATTTGTGTGGTCAGTGTGTCCACCTGGGCACTGGGTCAAGGGGTCCACCTGGATTTGTGTGGTCAGTGTGTCCACCTTGGCTCAGACAGGTCAGTTGTCCCCCTAGTTATGGACAGGTCAGTGTGTCCACCCTGGATTTGTGTGGCCAGTGTGTCCATCTGATCATGAGCTGGTCAGTGTGTCCACTTTGTGTGGCACTTGGGGACAGGTCGGTGGTGGCCTCAGCAGAATTGAGATCCCAGATGGGAAAACTTCTGGAAAAATCTGCAACTGCATCAGGCAGGAGATTGGGATAAAAGGGCTCAGATCCTCTGCCTGGTGAGGTCTGGATTTGCATACCAAGAACTGGGATAAGGAAGATAATTGGATTTAAAATTATGAGATTTGGTTTAAAGTGGATTTTTATCAAGGTTTAGCAGTAGATTGGTGTGAATTGAATTCACTTTAATTCACTTTGATTAAATCAATTGGGAAAAGAATATCTAGGGAAGATAAGTGCATCCTTGGAATTCCCTCCCTGTTTCCATGAATACCCAGCACAGTTAAGTGTCCCTGGAATTCTCTCCTCTGCTCCTCAGCTCCTCGTCCAGCTGAATCCCAAGGGGAGACGAGAAGTTTGCGATGTTTTGGGGCATCTCCCACCCCTTTTTTCCAAAAATCTCCAGCCTCTGGGAGCTGGGGGCCTCCGGCTCAGCCACGGGGCTCTGCTGACATCTCCTGGTGGGAATATTTGGGAAGAGCTGGAGCTGGATTTGGCTCCTGGTGATTCCAGGTGCAGCAGGATTCCCCTTTCCAGGACAGGTTGGGCAGGGGTTGGAACAACTGGGAGGTTTTGGAATCCCGGGAATGTTCGGGTGAGATCTTAAAGATCATCCAATTCCAATCCTGACACATCCCACCATCCCAGGGTGCTCCAAGCCCTGACCAACCCAGCCTTGGACACTCCCAGGGATGGGATTCACCCATCCAACCCGGGCCTAGAATTGGGAATTGGGAAATTTGCCTTGGGAGAAACGGAGCCTCTGTTCTGCAGTGTGAGTTTATTGCTCACACATCACATTTCCTCAATGGGGATTTTTTCCAATGAAGCAGAGCCGGGATCTCTGGGCTGCTTTAGGAAGTGTGGTTGATTTCTCTTATCTCCTACACAGGCAGGAACGGTGAGTTCATCTCACAGGTCTTCACTGCCTGGCCCAGAAGTCACAGGACTCCTGATTACAAAACCTTTTATGTGTTTATTAGCCAATAAAACACTGCCAGCAGGAATATTTATGTTTCTAACCCAATACTAAGATATTTCATCTCATTGTCTCACACTCCAGTGTGAGCTTTCTCAGCCAATCATATTATGGCACACAAACCTACAGTGCTGCACCCTAAAACTTCTGGTTACTTTTTAAATCACCTTTGTTTTCTCTATATCTTAAAACTTGAAATGCTAAACTTTTCTCTGCATCTTTAAACGCTAAAATTTTCTCTACTTAACACGTCTCTGCTCTAGACTATAAATCCACACTCTTGCTTCTAGCACCTAAGTTTGGAAGTCTTCTCCAAGGTCTCAAATCAAATCCTGTGTTTAATTCCAAGCTTTGGCTTATAGGCCTAATGTTTTGAGATTTCCCTGCATTTCGGATTCCAACATTGCAGAACTCAGCTGAAGCTGCCTCCCTCCCATTCCTGAGCTCCTGCATCCCCCCCTTCCCACCACAGCATTGCCTCCCTGGAGGGAGATGGGATAATGGGATGGGATGGGATAATAGGATAGGATGGGATGGGATAATAGGATAGGATAGGATGGGATGGGATGGGATAATAGGATAGGATGGGATGGGATGGGATACAGGGATGGGATAGGATAGGATGGGATGGGATGGGATGGGATAATAGGATAGGATGGGATGGGATGGGATA